CAAGCCCATTTAGGGTCTTCCGTAGTGGTCCTTCGCGTGGCCTTGTCCGTGCAGGATTCTCGTTGACCCGGGCGTCGCAGAAGATCTTGGACTGTTAAACGGTTGTCGAAGGAGTCGTTGAGCGCGAGACGCTTTCGGACGGCGCCGCAGTAAGAGCGCGCGCAATCTCCGCAGAGGGCATTTTCACGGCGCCACAGCGAGAGCGCTTCGACACGCAACATCCCCGCAGAGAGTTCACGTTCTTCTTGCAGTGCTTGCAAATGAGCGAAACGCTGCCTGCCACGAAAGTCACAGACCCTGTTGCTGGTTGCCACGGAACCCATAGCATCCGTGCAAAACATGCTGCGCCCGCCGTGGAAAAAGCACTCCAGTGTCACCCAATGCTGCGACGGCGATGGTGTCCGACAACTTTTTGCGACAGCTGCCATGGCTTTAGCGGTCCGCATGTCCAAGCGTCGTAGCCTGACCCGACAAGGAGACACCCACCGCGTAGAGGCCCTGCTATCAAAAATGCATTTTGCTCTCAAGAAACACGAGGCTTCCTCAAAAAGCACACCCCGGGTCGCAGCGCAGCCCGCGCGCCTGGGGCTTCCGTACAAAGTGCAAAAACCGCGTTTCGCGCGAGGCTTCGCCTGCATCAACAACGCATTTCGGTCTCAAAAAGAGCGCGTTTGGCGCGAGGCTTCCTCAAAAGGCACACCCGGGACGCAGCGCAAACCAGGCTTCCTGGCGTAGACATCCACCACGTAGCGTCCCTTGCATCAAAAACGCGTTTCGCTCTCAAAATATCGCGTTTCGCGTCGCAGTGCGAACACCCGCGCGCCTGAAACTGGCATACGAAACGCGTTTCGCACGAGGCTTCCTGAAAAGCCATAATGTACACACTATTTGTAGAATTACCAGAGCTCCTAAAGAGGTAGGCTTCCTTTGCGCCATGCATTTGATTTCCCTTTCAAGCCAATCAAGGTTTCGGGAATCACACACAGCTGGGCACGCTGGACCCTTGAACGAAGAAGTTGTCCGCACCAACCATTTTGGAGAGCTTTCCCGCAATCTGCGGCACGGTGACCTCTGGTTTCACATTGGTCTGCCATTTTCAATCCAGGGGCCTGAAAGGGGGTCCCAGGTTTTGACACCACACAAATGACTTGACAAAAAACAATGAACTACTACTAGTGGAATTCTTCGACCAACCACGTGATCCATCTGAAGGTAAATTTCAAGGAGCTGGCTTGGGGTTCTCGTTCCGACGCAAAGCGCCTACTTTCGCAAGTTACTTTGGGATCGACCCTTGCTTTCGGCTCGCGTCCAGTGACTCTAGTTTCAAGACCGTAGCTCATATAGGCGCTCACCCCTTTTGGCACGTTGTCAGAACCACAAACAACCAATACCCTCTGCTAGGCTCCGATGTATTGGTAGGACAGCAGCAGGGCTAGCAGAGCACTTTTTCTTCAGCCATGTAGCGTGTTGTGGCACATGCTAATGTCTATACATCACACATGCTTCCACTTTGCGGAGGTGCGCGGAAGTATGAAAAGACACCTGCCTCCCTGAGCCCGGCGCACAGATACCGGCCGTGCTGTCAACCGGCACCTCAGGTTGGAGGTCAAAGGCGTGTGTGATGGAAGGGGATGTTGCGGTGCGTGGATGACCGGCCACGGCGTCCGCCGGGCACTGCGCAAGGCTTGATTTTATAGTGCATGAATTCATGGTCAATGTAAAAATGCACGTAGAAGTTGGTATTATTCTACCAACGTGCGCGTAGCCCAGCTCCATCCGCCCTTGCCCTTGCCCTTACGGCTCGGACCGGATGGTTGTGGTTGCACGCCGACGCTGATTGGCACTTTTTTGTTGGGGCACATGCACATGGCCGCTAAACTGCATCACTGTCTCATCTAGATTGATCACTCTAAGAGTCGGGAGGAAGACCAGCTTCGACGCGCCTCAGAGCTTGCTTCAAGGCTTGCGGGAAGCGATGCTATTTTTCCACCAAGGCAAAGCCTCACTCCAGTGTCTGGAGCGCCTCTAACGTTTCCCAGAGCCACGACTCCTGGACCCTCAAGCCGTGCCTTGCGCTTTGCTTCAAAGCGGGCGGGCCAGCGGATAGAGCGAAATTCGAGAGACTAATGAGACAGACAATTTGATCTTCCACCACTTTGTCCGGCTGAGGAAGTCTGCGTGGCTACGCGTAGAAGGGATCGATGGAGAGCCGGGAAAGCGGGCCTTGTTGGCGCGGCCCTTTGCCGTCTTCCTCCCCGCTTCTCACCTGCTTTGCGTGAAGTTTGATCCACCGCCCTCCACTGCCAAGCCCTCCAATGTAGAATATCATGTTGGTTTTTGCATTCGCTGGGGGAACAACCATAGCGCTGGAAAACAGGACATCCTCTCCTTCTCCGTCTTGCTCAATTCCGGCACTCGCCGAAGCGCAGCTGGCGCCACTTTGAAAGTAGGACCGGCAGGCCGCCGATTCGGCTTCCCTTTCCGGGGAATTCATGTCGTTTCGTATGAAAAGCGAAGATAATGAAAAAGTTCCCATCTCACTCCGCCCTGCAACATCATCACTGTGTCGAATGCAAACATGACGGGCCTTCCGGCCCCCGTCCCAACAAGTGACTCAGGCGCCGCACCAGAAACGAGAACTCGACAGAGAGATCAATGCATCTGAACCGAGGGCGCAGCTTCTCATCCTTAAACGCCGCCGCGCAAGAAGTAGCTCATCTTCTTGGAAGTTGCGAGGAGCCGGTAATCCCGGTCAATGTTGATTCTCGGGACGTGTCCACTTCAAGCCACTCACAATGCTCCTCAGGTTGGGATCGACCTTGTTTGTACTGTGCGGGGTCTGCACCCTGACGGGCTGGGGCGTGGCCTTGACAGCCGGCTTTGCACTTGCCTCCTTCATCTTCACGTAGGCTCGCTGACGTCATCTCAACTGAAGTTGATGAGCTATCTTCGGTGGCTGGAAGATAGCGGATGTGGCAGTCATCAAAGACGGGCCGGTCAGTCTCCTGATCGAAGGGGTCGGCGAACTGCAGGCGGCAAGTTGCCGAGGTTCCACCCGAAGTCGGCGCTGGCCGTGAGCTCGTCATCTCAACATATTGACTCATTGCCAATTCAGCGCGATCAAACTCATCACCGCTGTTTTCACAACTTGTTCAGGGCGATCGCGTCTTCCGCAGCCTTCACCTGCACGGCCTTTGCCTGCGCACTTTGGTCAGTCATTGAGCCGTCCTTGACATGATCCTGGAAATGCCGACCTCATCCGACACAACCTTCCGGCTGGCACAACTGTCATAGTTGATGGGTTGATCGGATCGATGATTCAGCCGACGACCATCATTATAAGGCGTCATTCAGCAAGGAAGTGAAGGAACTTGTTGAGGGCATCGTTGAAGGACCCATCCCAGGCGCACCGTCAGTGGCTTGTTGAGAAGAACGACGCTGAGCGGAATTTCGTCACATTCAAATGGCTGATGGAGCTGGCTGACCGGTGATCTGCGACCTTACTTGTTGCCATCAACGCCCGCGGTGTTGCCGGTGGGATTGAAACGCATGAAACTGGGTTATGACTTCGTATGGCAAGCTGTCAGCAAGCCGTGCTTCCAAAAAGCCCAACGGATCTTAATGTTTGTGGTTTTGTCCCGTTCTACGATGTGTGGGGCAGTGGGTCCTCCAAAGCTTGGCCAAATCGCAAAGCCGCCCGGAAGGCCAGGTCGGTGAAGGCAGTGTCCCAGGCGACATCCCAAGGTCCCGCGCCTAGCATGCAGCAGCAGGCTGAGGATGCGAATCCTGATGAGGAGTACACGCCTAGCATCCTCTAGAGGATGACAAAGATCACGCTAAGGTTGTCGAAGAGCTCAAACGGAAGTTCGCGGTGACACTTGCCCACTGAAGAATCAAAATATTTTGCGGATCAAGGCCACCCAGCAAGATCACTTGCCAACAGTTTCCTGAAGCGCGAAGCAATGACACCTTCCTTCTGACGCACCAGCCACCAACCCTTACTGCGACGTGCGCAGATGTGCCAAGATGACCCGGTCTCCCTCTCGCTCGCCGGGGGGGGGGGGGGCCCCCGGGTTGACGCTCTCGTTATGTTCGACGTCTGGTTTGACATACGCGTATGCTTTTGCTAAAAGAACTACTGAATCCACGGTCAAGGCTTTTCAGCATTTCACGCCTCCGTCGCATGAAGTTGGTGCGTCTTACAGTGACAACATCCCTGAAATTATTGCTGCAGCTGAGGAAATTGGTCGGAGCCGTGTTCTTAGTCAAGAGTATGTTCATAGAATCACGCGCGCAGTCCACACGCTGCAAGGCGTTGGTGTTTGTGGTCGGATCGACTACTGGGTATCTCTTCCTCCCTGGCACGACTGCTACTCCGGGACCGCTGCGATGGGTCTTTCCCGGGCTTGATTAACTGCTTTGATGGGGGCTGTGTGTGTGGGGTGGTGTGTGGGGTTGTGTGGGGTTGTGTGGGTGTGTGGGGGGGCAACCGTCACTGCCTGACGCCATGGCAGTAAAGGAGCGGGCGTTACCAGCACATACGGCTGATAACCTATTGATAGGACAGAATCACTTAAAAACAGCAAGTCTAACAGAGGACCTTTTCTTGAGCCATGGTATGGTACATGCTATTGTCTGTATTTTTCACACGCTTGCTGCCAAACAACACATTACGCCAACTGTTCAGCATAAGTGGTTCAGGATGAAACGGGGTTCCAATCCGAAGTGTCTTCTCCACTGGCAAGCCGCCTAGAAAAGGACCAAAGGTTTAACGCCCTAACCCACCCAGTTCGCAATCTGAAAACCACATCGCATGGGCTAAATTGGTTGTAATGTAAATCTGAGACTCCTTGACCAACAGGGGCAAGGCAAAGGAGAAGTACCAAACCATTTCGCAAGTTGGAATCAAATGGCTTTGTCAAGGCAAAAGGGCTCTTCAAGACCGCGTCCTTTGACAAAACAACAATTGGTTCCTTCGCGACTTTGAGAGGCCAAGGGGCTCCTCTGAGTTGGGTTGTCCAGGGACACGTAGTTCACCATCTGGCCGAATGGGTACCAAGCAGAACTCTACACCAAAAACGAAACCCCGCAGGTGCGTCCACGAAGTTGGAGTTGGACAAGTTCATGAGCGCTTTCCGAGAATAGAGTACTAGACCCCAGAACTTGTCGCCGCAATCTGAAAAAGTGTGGTTGCCACAATGTGCGAGCGGCATCTCAGTCGGGGCAGTTTCAGGCATTTTCGGGCATGAACGCGCCTCGTGAAAAAGCACGGACACAATGCTGGCCTGGATAGTGGCCTCCGCCTGGCGATGGGCCCAAGCCGAACCGACACCCACGATTTGCGTCAGATACGTGTCTCCGCGACAAACACTCAGCGCTCCAGCCTGAGCCGTTTGTCACGTCCTGCTGCCATGTAGGGACGGTGGGATCATCTTGGGAACAGCGCTACAGGATCAGGGCACAGCGGCGCCAGTACACAGACTAAGCCAGTGGAACAAGGACAAGGTGACCTTGCGTTGCTGCTGACAGCCTTCTGCCTGGCTGCAAAACAGTTTATTTGCTGTGAAACGCGCGCGTGCTCCACAGGGCGTTGAGCCCTTACAAGATTACGGAGATGTCATTTTAGAGAAGATCACTTACCCTCTGATGATGGAACCTAGCAGAGGGTTCGTTTTGGAGGAAAATGGCCTCCAGTCAGATTTCATCTTGGTGGGAAGTGTGCAAAAGAACAAGCCCCTAAACCTTAGGTTGCGCTTTCCGACGCCTTCATCGCCGCCATGAGGTCTTGGTACTCCCACCTCACAGGGTTGGTGCAAAGAACCGGGGACCATATCTTGCGACGCCAACACTCCAACCAACTGCAAATTGAACGGTTTTGTGGAAGCCGGAAACACGCGCAAATAGATGGCCAACCCCGCTTCCGCTCACGCCATCACGAGAACCAGGACGGCTCGGGGAGCCCGAGCTGTAAATTGAAGCAGCAATCATTCTGAATGTTGAAGCACTAAGTGAAAAAACACAGATTGAACGATCATACGAGACTGACAAAGAGCAATGTCGCTGACGCAAACTATTGTCTTGCAAGCTGGGACGCACGAAGCTTCAAGCTGAAAATGCACCCTAAAGCAAAATAAACTATCATGCCCCGAAGCCTTTCATATCTGTCTTGAAGAAATAACGGTTTGGCAGTCAGACCTGTCTGCATGTCCTTCGTGGGCTGTGGCCAGCTAGCGCGAAAGTGGACAAGCGCGCTGAGTAACAGCAAATCAACACAGTCATGCTGCAAGGATTCCCTGGCATAGGTTCCGTTGCGAACACTCCCCGGAAGATCAACATGGGACCCAACAAACCATCGTTCTAAGCGAACGTCGCTGGCATTTGAAGCGGACACGCAAGAAGTGTCCTCTCGGCCAAAACCACGATTGGGCTTGCCTGGGCCTGTAGGTAGCAAAGCGTGCGACTGTGTACAAGTTACAGGTGATTTTCCTCTTAGTGTCGTTAGTAGGGCACAAGGGAGCCTGTGCTTGAAGGTAGTTGGTATGTAGGGAGTCAACCGTGAACAGGCCTGTTTTGCCATTGAAGCACGCGCTGTTGCGAATCATGACTTGCGAGCTGGTGGTTCCTCGGACAAGTCACAAATTACAAGTCACAAATTGGGAGCCTCAAAGCCGCCCGAATTTCGCTCATTTTGTTGGCTCGCTTTTGCTGGCGGTCATATAGCAGTATGCATTTACGTCGCTATTCTGCCCATGTTATTCTGTCCATTTTCTCTATTCACCCTATCCTCCCAACAAAACCTGGGCCCTGCACGGCAAGCCGCCACCCCAAGCTGCGGAACCCCAGAACAAGGGGGGGGGGCTTGGCTGAAGGAGGCCCAAACCAGACGACCACGGTCTCCATGCCAGTCTGTCATCTCTCTCTCTCTCCCTCTCATTCTGCCACGTTGCTCGATCCATTCCACTGCGGTTCTGGCCACGATGTCCTCAGGCGGGTCTTATTTCTACGCCCGATTCGCCCTCGTGAAGTTCACGGCTAAAACCCCTCCCCAACGCACTGCATTATATATATATATATATACATATATCCGCCGACCCCTTGTGTCAAGGGTGGAAGGGTGAGTTCATCCAAGCTCTTGTGGACAGGCTCGATTACAAGCGGCCTCGCGCGTGCCGGTGCTGCTGGGGGGTTTTGCTGCTGTATGCGATGTAAACCCGATTTCGGTGACGCTGGGGATACTGTTGGTAGATCCGAGTTTTGCACAAAGGGTCCAAAAGTGACGTTAGACACGTTGGGCTTGCACGTTTCCTCGGAACCTGTCTGTGTTTGGGCCCTTTTGAGGCGTGGCCTTTTTCGGAGGCTGCGCGGCTCCCGCGCAAGTCGCCTTGCTGGTGATGCTGGGGATGTTGCTGCTGTCCCCCAAATTATTCAACAGTCATGTGTCTCGAACTCCTTCCCGTGTTTATGCCCTTTTGATGAGTACCTTTCGGAGGCCCGTGGCTT